GGAATTGGGAAGATCGCTCCAGAAGCTGCGACTGCGAAATTCACAGTGGGAGGACCCCTCCCACTTTCGATTTCCCTCCTCCGTTAGAGCCCTTTTTTGCCGTTTTTGCGCTTTCCAACGTGGATTTTCGGATTCAGCATAGTGAATAGGCCCGGGTAAGCACAAAATCTCAAAATCGACTTTTTGCCCGGACACTGCCTTTAAAAGCAGCCCCGGCAAGAAGATGGGTGCCGAATTTTGTGATGTTAAAGTAGTCCCCCTACCTAAGCGATGATTGATGTTCGGAGCGAAAAAGGGGCTACCAGGCCTGAAATATGCCCCGAAAGTGGCCCGGATCTTACGGTAAGGTATGAAGCGATTTATCGATCGCTTTTCATTGTTGTAAATTACCGTAGGAAAACTGAGGAGGGTTTTGAGATATCAAGAGCCGTTTGCCCAAGAATGAGAAACAAAAGGCCAGTCTTACACTAGGCGTCCAAAGACACTCCTATATAAAGAATTTGCACTCAACCTAACGCCTTTTGCAACTTATGCCAGGTACATCGTAACAGACGTTTTCCAACGCTTTTCAAAAACGAGAATGCACATTTAAAAAGCTTGAAAGCCCTTGCGTAGTTAAAAATACGTAAAAACCTGCTACATAGATCTCAAATCTCTTTTTTTTTGTTGGAGAAATTCTTTTGGATGTCTCATTTCGCAGTTGCTCTATATGTTGGAAGTTTACACCGTGATAACACAACAAGAAAAACATAGGTGATTTGCTTTCTGCTGAATTTGTAAGCTGAAGCCATCCCTAAAGGATGTTACTTAAAGGTTGACAAAAGACTTGATGAGAGGTATTAGTGACTAAACAGTTTGTAGATACCCTTGAGACACCCCGTATATGTTGTGGATATCGAATTTCCGAATATTCGGTGCTTATCGAATATTCGAATATTCCATTGGCATCGAATGATCGTATTAATGACCACCGAATATTCGACTATTGAATAATATTCGAAAGTTGAGAATTTCGAATATTCGACTTTCGAATATTAATCGAAATCTCAGATTTTCGAATATTCGAATTTTCGAGTCATTCGCATTCGAATGATTTATTCGAATAATCGAATAATCATTCGATTCGGTCCAAACTATACTATACTGCCTGGCGTCTATGATAGCGACCACTATCGCAAAATCGATGATGACCGTTATCAAGGATTTCGCCTCTCACATGCATGGACAAAACAAAAACAGTTTTTTGACGAAAATTTCATAAAAAATGAAACGGTTGCAACATGAACTCAATGATTTAATCAGTAAATTTTTGTCTTTAGCAGCTTTTCGAAAAAAGTCAGCAAACTTTGCGAAAAAGAAAAGAATCTGTTTTCTTCCTTTCCACGCCAAAATCGGCTGTTCATCGATTCTCTCCTTTTCGGGCCCCCATATTGTGCATTTTTGCGCCGATATTGTCTGCAGTGTTAGGCAAATTGGTGTGTATCGTAAGTTACTCAGGAGCAACTTACGGGAGTCTTTTCTGCGTCTCCTCTTTTCCACACTACTTGCATTCCTCTAACATCAGTTCACATTCAGCTCACCTGAACGTGAACTGATGTGCAACAGTTGACTGCGGCAAGTGGACGGATGGCCAACTGTCAGTTCACTTGTCTGCTTATAGCATGGGAAGGTGGGCGATCATCAGTTCACGTGAGCTCAATCGGTTGAGTTCAGTTCACCTGAACTGATTGAGCTTTACTATGGGCCTTTGTATCGCTTTAGTTAAGCATTATGAGCACCTCTCAATATTCTTGTTTCACCGCTTGGTACAACAAATAAAAAGCAGAAATTCCTCAAGCTTAGGTAGCTTATTTCAAGTGTATATGTTCTCAAAAAGATATCATATTTGACTACGCTTCACTATGCAAACATGCTGAAAAAGTACTTGGTTAAAGTGGAGTTTACATAGTAAAGTACCCTAATTTCACGCGTACAAGGCGCGCGGGATTTTTTTCCAAAATCGACCACCCCAAATACGCCAAAGAACTTCGCAACCAAAGGACCTTATGCCTTGCTGTATATTGCTTAAGAGAATCGTACGGCATGAGGATCGCTTTCCGAGATAATTTTAAGAGGCTGAGGGGCTTAGTCGAAAAATCGAAAAAGGTGCGCCTTGTACGCGTGAAATTAGGGTAATAAAAAAGGATAAAAAGAATCGGCTCTTCAATACCCTCTGCGGGCATGCGCCGAACGCACACTACTTCATAGTTGAAGAGGCAATTGTATGCGTGCGAGCATATTACAGTGATTTGCGGGGGTCAGCCGTTCACAAGTCAGTGCTTTTATCCTCGCAGATTACTCTGGTATCAATTTACCGTCCCCGGAAGGTAGAATGCTTGGTTGGCCCAGCGGAGGGTCGAACCTGTGTCCGATCTGGTCATAGCGGCGCCTCATACTACTATGCCACTCGTCCCCTTCATAGTAAAGTATACTCTCTTATAGAGTTTGGGAAGCTAACTCCAGATACTTTCGGTACTCCAAGGTACTTCCATGAACAGAGTTATCTGGGTTCATCAAGGCAAAAAGAAGGGTTCAGAATCAGTAGGGCTCTTCGGCTCTTGAAAGCGGTAATGATTGGCGTAGATCTATTAATTTAGGGATATTAACTGCATAAAGCGCCCTTGCGGTAATCTGGCCCATTTGAGCTCAAGGACTTTGAATGGTTTCATTGTAGCCATGCTTAAGAAAGAATTCCCATAACTCCCATTCCAGGAAAAACTTTGCAGATATCGAAGGCAGATTAGGAATCAACGTCCCATGCTTCATAAGATACTGGCTGGCAAAACCGGCTCCGCCCGGCCCTGTCAATGATATATTCGTAATCAGCATGCTCATTTACCCCCTGTGCCAGCTCCCAGCCCCGTAGCTCCAACTTTTTTAAAAATTAATAAAATCGATATTGATCGATGACGAAAAGTAGCCTATGACACCCGCCCGGCCCCGAAGTGTATGTGTGCAAAGGGTGGTCCGGATCGATTCAGAAATGGAAATTTCTATTCGGAACATACGTACAGACAGACAGACATACAAACAGACATTCAGCTTTCTATATAAGACTTTGCACTTTATACGGAAACGCCACTTCGACCATGCAATATTGCTTCCTTGTTAGCAGATGGCGACTGCAGATTTGCATTAGCGTTTCCAGAAACAATTAGTGTCTCAGTGAGGTCTCATTCCACATAGCTGCGGTCACCAAGAATCCTTTGTAGCACAGAAAGATTCCATCGCAGGTTTGATTGCACCCCATCATGTGGTCGCCCAATAGGAGTTAGGCTTCATACTGATTTTCATGTTCCGTAACTATTCCTAGAATTATAATGAGTCTTTCACTTCAAAGATTTCTTCATTGAAACCTTTTTACGGCTCTATACATTCTCCGTAATGTGTAAGGTAACCTAACTGGAGGTGATAAATCGAAATTCCGTCTACGTTAACATTTTATCAAAAAGCTAAGGCTGAGTTCATACTGATTCCCATGTTGCGGAACTGTTCCTGCGAAGTTCACGCACTGTGCTGGAACTGTTGCGGAACTGTGCTGCATGCGCTGCACCCGCCCTGCACGCGTTTTGAACGGCGAGAGTTGGAGAATTTTGACTATTTTCAACGGTTTTTCTTCCAGACTCCTCTCATTTTGGCCTTATTCCTCTACCCCGCTTCTCTTTTTGCTCAGCAGAACTTCGAACTCGAAGCGGGTTGAAAAATGAGCGCTTTTCTGCTCTGCATATCCGACAAAATGTCTGTTTTTGCGCTCATCCATTTTCTCTTCGCTTTCTTTTTACTCCTATTCCATTTGTTCCAAAAACCACGCAGCGCTTTTCTAGAACACATGAAGTAGATTTGAACAAAATAGCGAAGAGAAAATGGAGGAGCACAAAAACACACGTTTTGTCGCTTAGGCAGAGCAAAGCGCTCATTCTTCAACCCCCTTCGATTTCGATGTTCTGCTGAGCAAAACGGGAAGGTAGAGGAATAAAGCCAAAATGAGAGAAATCTGGAAGAAAACCCGTTGAAAACGGTCAAAATGCTTTAACTCCCGGCGTTCAAAACGCGTGCGAAGCGGCTGCAGCGCATGCAGCACAGTTCCGGAACAGTTCCAGCACAGTGCGTGAACTTCGCAGGAACAGTTCCGCAACATGGGAATCAGTATGAACTCAGCCTTAGCCCCTTGATAAAATGTTAGTGTAAACGGAATTTGGATTTATGACCTCCAATTAGGTTATCTTACACATTACGGAGAATGTCTGGAACCGTAAAAAGGTTCCAATGAAAAAATCTTTACATTGAAGAACTCATTATGATTTACTTCCGCATTCGTGTTGTTCGCTCGACTTGGCACAGTGCATTCAAGGCAACGTGAATCACGCTTTTGCTGATAGTAATTGCAATCTGTCTAACAGCAACAAAATTTGCAATAACCACGGCCTTCTAGCCATAATTGGCCTACAAATAGCAGCCGTAGCTTCTTATTGATAGAAAAATGAAGAATAAGTATCCCATCCGTAAGAATTTTAGATCGGCTATTTATGACTAGAAAACTAACTCGCGCGTACCGTCGCAGTTACACTGCCCAAAGCTTTTAACGTTGGTCAGCCTGTAAGTAGCTGACAAGGGGGGGGGGGGTAGCACAAATTGCCAGATAAGTCCGGACTTATCTGTAGGCGGACATATCTGATGGGAGAAGTTATCTGCAAGATTTTTGGCGGTGCGAAGTTTTATTTTTATCAATTATTCTGGTCAAAAAGCGGACTTATCTGTGAGATCTTAAAATAATGCAGTAAGCGCGTCATTACCTTTACCTATGTATCTCCCGGAATGCAAATTATGCAATGTTGATTGGCACGATAGTTTCATCAGGCAGATGACTTGCGCAAGATTCCTGCTTTCATGTGACTCCTTTTAAAGCAAAAGTGATCGGAAGATTTAAGACCCGTTCATCAACTTGATTATGATCATTCCAGAGCCGACTATGAGTCCAGAAGAGGAAGCAACAGCTGTTCCACCTGAAGATGTAACTACACCTGAACCATTTGATGCAAAAATATTTGAAGAAATTGAAGCAGCTGAAGAGACAGAATCATCTCGCGTGAGTTCTAGTCTCAGCAAATCAATTCTTGAAAGGTATCAGGAATAAATTCAGCTGAAGTCAGCAGAGTCACTAATTGCGCTGCACAGTGCTTTCATGCCGGTCGAGCCAATGGCGTCATTCTCCCCTACAACAATGGCACCAAGCTCTATAGAAGAGGATTTATTGTCTTTGAACGAAACGCTAAGCGAAAATGGAACGCAGTCAACATTGTTACCATCTACATTTACATCAGGATCAACAAAAGTCTTGCTGACATCAACGACATCTATTCTCACTACGATTGAAGTAAGCAAATTAACTGTTGATAAATGGAGGAGCTTATGTAGAAAATCTGATGCATACCTTACGCCGCTTTTGAGAGGGATGAGGTTAAACTACCTAATTGTGAAGGAAGAATAGTGCTGGTAAGTTAGACGATCCAGTCAGCTTTTAAATGCTCTATTTAATAGAAAAAAGAGCATTTGCATTGCAAACAATTCGGTTTTTTGCATGTTTTACCAGAAAGGTGGAGGTGCGCTTTGGCACTTCTTGTTGAGTCCGCAAGTTGGCTATGCTATCTCATTTCCAAATATTCGTCATATACGTCGATTTTTTTGAATCTAATACTGAACTCTAATTGAGACTGTCGTTATACCCATTCAAGATATTTAGTATAATCAGGGGGCACAACAATGACTGGCAGTTGTCTTGAGAGTGGAAATCCAGTCTTTCAACTTTGCATAACGAGATGGTATTGCAAGCATAGCAATAGGAACATTGTTATCAATTACCTCCAGACAAAAAGGGTTGCAATAGAGAGATGTCTAACACAATACACCAGGCTAATGATGCACAGTATATATCAAATTTATAGCGGTTGCCACAAGTATACTTCATCGGAGCGAAAATCATACAAGGGCGTTCAAAAGCAGTAAAAGACGCATTTCCTGATGAAAAGACACTTTTTAATCAAACAACACACTTATACCATTTATACCCTTCTATTCTACTAGTGCATTTTTTCTTAAGAATAAAAACTGGATTCCGCGTGAAGATGAATATAATTTATGAAAAAATTCAACTAGTTATTTAGAATAGAAAAAGATACGCGTAGCATTCCTTCAAGCCCCGCGCACTCTTACTTTCACGTTCATGGTACAATGACTATTCGAACTTGAAATGCTTACGAACTAATTTTCAGGATATCACTGCAAACAGTGACAATGACACGGAGACGACTAGCGTACCACGAAGGTTGTTTAAGAAGTTTTCACCATCAAGAGAAGTTGTACTGAGAGACGATGATCTCAGATTTTTAAATTCGCATGTGCAGTTGCGGCAACATGATATTGTTATTGAAGATATGGATCCCGAAGGTGAGCACCTAACAACTCTTGAAATTTTGGATATGGTCACAATAAACCTCCAGCTTTTCGGACGAAATTCTTTCAGAAACTTGCAGGCAGTCAAGCCCATGTGAGAACGGTGGCACATGCGTTGTGAAGAACAAACAAGTACAATGCGAATGCGCTAGTGAATACACCGGTGTGAACTGTGCAGGTTCCACCATAATGTTTATTGTTTCTTTCAACATAGACAGATAATCCTTTCCAGACTGTTGTTTTAGAGGTGGATATGTGCTTGAACCATGCCTGTGCCCAAAATTCCACTTGCAAAAACGGACCCAAAGGAACTTACATTTGCGAATGCAAGGAAAACACAGTTGGAACTTACTGCGAATGTGAGCACATTTTTGTTAATTGGCTCAAGACTGTGACATCTCATCCCAAAAACATTAGCTGTATGTGATCACAGCACAGCCGCGCATGCCACCGCCTGCCACCATCAACTGTACATATGTGCGACGATGGCAGTGGTTGGGCTGCATTGCGGGCGTACACTAAGTGTCCCAATCAGCCTCATAGCTGCCTTCGCGGCATACATATAAGCAAGCTTGTTAAACTACCATCAAGGGTTGGAGGAAGCACGCAGCATACGCAGCATACGTGTACGCTGGGATTGAGTAGGTTGGACGCGCTGCAACCTTGGCACGGTGAAATGAGCTGTTTTGTAAGTGGTCGGAGAACTAAGTTGAATTACAATGACCACATTCATGTGTTGCTGCAAACCCGAGCATGACAAACGAAAGCAACTTTCACTGCGTTGTCTCACAGGGGTAGACAGGCGATCCCGTCAATGAGCATCTTCTCCGCAAACTACTGATCCTTTTAATGCTATTAATAGCTTGCGAGGTCGGAAGACGGCCCTTCTGAGCCCACCGTCCCCTACAGTAATCTAGAACTAGGACGCGCGCGCATGCGCTGCGATGACTGCGGACGAGTGCTCCGCGAAGGGCTCGTATTTTCGAGAATCACCAACTCCCTTCGTGCGGCTCTTGCATTATGGAATGCAAGCCAATCACGCTGAATTCAACCAAACACAGCTACCATCCTCTGAATGTCTGGTATTCTGAGCCCTACTTCCCAGCAGGTATGTTTATGAATTAGGAGACATTTTCGAAGTCTTTTCATTTACATGATACAAAAAAACTTCTCATGAATCTCCTTTGAATTATTTCGGGACTTTGTTTTATCTTGCTTTTTTTCCACTTAAATCCCTTGTGTGCGATCCTTATGACGTCGTGCATCGTCACATCATATTGCTAATGTGAGCTGCTTGATGTTATTGAGGAAAGCCCACGTAATCAAAGTTTGTGTAACAGCTTTCCAAAGAAATTATCATCTCCTCGGAATTCTCATTCTAGTAAAGTTTACGAACGTGCATTTGAAATTTTCACGATATGAAAAGCATGATGCGTGCAGCAAAGAAAAGGTCGCTACCAAAATCAATCCATGTAGATCACGCTACCAAATGAAGGTGATGCATTTTATTTGATTGCGTTTTTTGATATGGACGGTATAAACAAAACTTCATACTCATCATAAAAAAACGTATGCTTCCCTACTGGCATGCATGTAGTGCACATTTCAATTGAATGTGACTAGATGATGCTGCAAGGAGGCAGACGTAGGAGAGTAGAGCATGCAATCGAACTAAAAAAACAGTAAAACAAGTCGAAAAAGACATTAAAAATGTCTCACAGATCAAAAACATACCTTAGAAAGTGGCCGGCGATTTAAGTAGTGTGGGGTACAGCGAATAATTTATTCCAGGGAATTTGGGGAATTTAGAAATTTTTTGGAGAATCACCTCCAGGATCTCATTGTGGAGTAGGTTACCAGCGATGTGAAACTCGTCCGCCTCCGCAGCGCGTCTGCCCAGGTCAGCCGCTCGCTCCCGCGAGCTAGCCTATCATGGAGTGACCTCTAATTAGCGCTGACCTCTTATAGCCGTCGCGATTGGAGCAGGTTCAGAAGGGCCTACACCCTGCGAGGTCCAGTAGGCCCCCGGAGGCGGCGATCCATGGCGGACGGCTTTTCATGTGGCGCCCAACTCTACCAGGGAAGGGGACCGCAACTTACAAATAAAGCTTCATATCCTGAAACTCCGAGCTTCTGGATTTCACCTGTCTACCCATCTGCAGGCATTTCTACCATTCTTCACTATGAACATATTGAAGAAGAGCGAAAAGCTGTACAAGCCGCATTTCCTAGCTTTTTGTACGATCCCCTGATAATCCGTGGCAGCCGACCGCCTTTTCTTAAAAGTTATTTTCTTTCTTTGATGTTAGCAAAAAGATTCCAGAGTTGTACCGATTGCCTAACCCAACAGTGTCAAGCATGTTGCTGATAAGAACAAATGATGTAGTGGAGTCATGAAAATTGCGATGAACCACAGGTCGAATGTTGGAGTTTATCGAAAAATCAAGTTTTTCAAAAACTCATCTGTTCTTATCAGCAACATGCTTAGCAGTATTGAGTCGGACGAACAAAACAACTTTGGAAGGTTTTCATTGACTCTGATGAAAGAAAAATGACTTTGAAGAAAAGACGGTCGGCCGCCGGGGATCATCAAGGCATCATACAAAATGCTGGAAAATGGGCTTGTACAGATTCTCGCTCGTGTTCAATATGCTCACAGTGAAGGATGGTAGGAATATTTATAGGTATACAGCATGAAATTCAGATATCTGGAGCTTCAGAATATGAAGCTTTCTTTTTAAGCTGCGATCCCCTTCCCAGCGGGGATGTTAATGCAGGCGGCCCTATAGTAAAGTGACTAGGAAAGAGAGGGACACAGGTATACCTAGCATAGAGATAGAGCCTGTGGTAATATACCCTTTGATTCAACGGGATTGGCTTTGGAAGGCAGTGCTTCGAGGCCTAATCAAACCTGAGAATGATCAGAGAGCACGCTGGCGAGAGATGCGCAGAGCCGCCAATACCGTTGTATCAAAGGGCATAAACAATTTCTCAATCAATGCACAATCTTCTGACAGCTGTGCCATTCAGTCACCTGTCCGGAAAATTACTGTCTGGGCAAAGGTTTGTGCGTGATGCGGAAAGACGGCAAGATCGGTTGCACTTGTAACCCTGGTTTCACCGGACGCCGCTGCGAAAAAGGTTATTATTGCAGTTGGAGAATTGTTTGCTAACAATGATATAGTAATTATAGAGATCGATGAATGTCAAATGAATTATTGCCAAAACGCTGTAAGGTGCATTGACAAGTTCAACGACTATGAGTGTATCTGTGAAGAAGGATGGATCGGGAAAGACTGTGACAGTAAGTTCTAAACCTCACAAACTCCAGTGGCCGTATTCATCAACGAACCTTGAGGTTAAATTTTACCTTGAGAGCACGCCTCAAGGTAGATTTTAACCTCAAGGTAACTTTGCTATTCACAAATCTACCTTGAGGTTAAAATCTACCTGGTAGTCAACAGAGTACTCACTGACGTTTATTCGGAACATGCCATGACGTATCAGCGGTGCATAAGATCTTCTACTGCTAGTGATTTGACTGCCATGTTGATAATGCCGTATATCTTGTAGGTGCACGTTACCATATTTTAGCAGGAAAGTCTTCTGAGGAACTAAGCAATCATGTTTCAACATGATTGGACGTGGCAATTGATATAGGGTTGTCTTAAATGTTAGTACACACTTTTTAATCGTTGATATCTCTTCTCACACAAAGTCTTTCGGTTAGATTCAACAGCCATCCATTAGAGCAGGCCTGGACTTAGATTGCTGGTATGGAGCGAAGCACCTATAGCTATTCATTACTGTAGTATTACAATAGAAAGTTGAAGAGGGTTTTAAACAAAGTCAAAACCTCCCTAACTTCTTATCAAACTTACATAAACTTATACATTGATGGTTGAAATCAATGTATGAATTTTGGCCCAAAATGGATACTCAGCAAGCTGAAAACTTTATCACAAGACTAAACAGAGTCGCTGATCATGAATGTGAAGTTTCCAGTTTACCAGAAGGCTTTTTTTCATAACTTATGCTACGTAAACGCAATTGCCTTTTTTCACTGATTTAAAATCTAAACCAATTGGAACGCGTAAAAACTCTCAGCAAGGTTGTCTAATTGTGTTAGCATTTCTGGAACACTGCTACACAACTTTCCAGCTTTTTGGAAGCTTTGCTAGCTTATTTCAAAATGGCGCTGTATATTTTCCTACCGATCTTACAGCAATTAAGAGCCATAAGTGTTTTGCTCCATACTATTAACCTAAGTTGAAACCTGCACTACTGCATGGTACTTGCAGCTAAGCAAAAGGCTTCCTGTGAAGAGAGTTACTAACGAGCAAAGAGTGAGTACTTGCTTTTGAGACACCGTGTACAATAGAAAGAAGAACACGCTTCATGGCCATCAGAGTATAAGTAGAGTTAGAATTGAGCTGTATCATATGGAACGCAGATATCGCAAAGATTCACATAAGTTTCCAAAATTTTTACATAACTCTGTTTTACTCTTATAGTTTAGTATGCAAAACTTTGGTCCCAAAACTCGTCCTCGCCTCCTTGTTAGGATACGGAACAGCACGACGCCGGTCCTTTTAAGGAGAGAATCGCGCAATCGAACAACCTACGCAGCTGGCGAGATCAAGTAGGAAATCATAAAAATCGATAGTGGCAAAGGCAAAGTTGTTTCACGGGTGTCTATTTGCCACCGTCACGCTGGGCTCTGATACCATGTTAAAAGGCTTAGAACGCTGATGACACTGCTTTCCTTAGCTGCAGAAATCATGGACAAAGCATGAGCGTTTTTTGGAGCGGAAATTGGATTGCAAGTAGGACAAAAAATGGTCGCAATATATTTTCTAGCGCTTCAATGGAGCAATGATAATCATTAGTACTTTATTTAATAGATACTCCAATAATCAAATAGTTGGAAACTAAGTTTTGCAACTCATTTACTGCTTTCCTCTCTCTCGACATGAGCACTTAAATTTGCGCTTGTGTAGGCTGTGACGTAAGCTACAAGCGCAGCTGCTGTTCTGCCAGATTCTAGCTTCAATGAGGGTTAAGCTAGGTATCTGGTATAAAGTGAAAAAATATAAAATATGACAGATTTAGCTGAAATTTGGTGTAGGTGTTATCCGACATGCTGATCACCAAAATGATAATGACTTTGCGTGATAAAGGCTTTTTTGTAAGGTTACTGTAAATATAGGGTCCCACCCTGAACAAGGAAAGAGGCGTTATATAACCAATGAATATGATATTCGTATCTGATAGGTCAAGTAGCCTTACTAGGTCAAGTCTCGACGAAAATTGTGATTCTGACTCTTTAGTCATTGACGGTCTCCCCAGCAGCTCTTGTGTACTGCCACTTGGTCGACTTTGTGAGGGCGCCAAATCTCGACGCCCCTAAATTTTCTTTATTTCTTACTGAGCCAATGAGTCAACTTTTAGCCATAATTCGTGATTCCGGATCACTGCGCATGGTCTAGGCTGGGCTGGTAAGGCTTCATTTTAGCTTGAAACTCCAGAAATTCTCAAAATTCACTAGTTTTCGAAAAATGCCTGAAACTTTCCTATTTCATGTCAAAATTTGAGCAATCCGCGCGCAGTTGTGTCATACATTACTCTGCATAACTAAAGAGGTTGAATTTATGAAACTAGGTGCAAAACCTAATAAATTTTACAATTATTGCTTTATTTGAGGACTAGTGAGATTTAGCAACTCCATCCTAAATGTATATGTAAATTCTTGCTGCAATAAACGCTCACAACTCCTCGTCAAGGAACGTTCCACAAACAAAAAGACAGATTTGGAATGTTTTCTACTTTTCAAAGCTTATACATCCCATCTAAAAAAGGTAACTTCGACAAAAAAAGGTTTCCGTGTAAGTAAACAAGTGAAATTTGAGCTAGTATTGATAAAATAAATTCGTTCTTGAAAACAGTTGCGTCAGAATAAGGTCCTCAAAAATTAGAATGATGGAGGTTCCTTAGAAAAAGTTCAACTCTTATGTGCAATCAAGGTAGATTTTAATCCTAATCCTATCCTAGGGTTAAATTCTACCTTGGACGCGTAATGGAAAGTTGATAGAGAAATGATGATTGAGGTAAATTTCAACCTCAAGGTAGAATGATGAATACGGGTTTATGCGTTTAAAGGTTCATTTCTACCTCAAGGTAGACTTAACCCATGAGAGAATTTCATTGCGATCATGTTGTGAATACGGGTTATAAGCCAAAATGCTAGATGAGGTAGATTTTAACCTTGAGGGTTCGTTGATGAATACGGCCACAGGAATGATATCCACGAAAGTCCATAATGGAGGAAGGACTTTCAAGCCCCATTTTATTCGTTCGCGGTGGAGATTGGTCGGTTGCTTTCGTTAGCGTTATCCAAAAATTTTTATCTCATCGCAACCACGAGGCAAAGCGGTGTGATGAAAATGATTCAGCCACTTGAGCTCTTGCTTGCGAAAGAATCATGCGAAAAGTTCATTTAAAATGCGGCAAAATGGGATTTACCTTTATTTTAAACTAGCTGGCTTACCCGGCTCCGCCGTATGTTCCGAATAGAAAATTCCATTTCTTAACCGATCCGGACCAAATTTGCACACTACCCGCCGGGGCCCGTAGTGTATGTGTGCCAAGTTTGGTCCCGATCGGTTCAGAAATGGGATTTTCTATTCGGAACATACGTACAGACATACAGACAGACATACAGACATACAGACAGACATACAAACAGACATTCAGCTTTATATATAAGATGGACTTGAAAGCCCATTTCACTCCCAGCACCAAGGTGAGCTGGGACTAAACCCATTTTTGACCTTTTTGCGTATTTTTGCTGGCGATTTATTGAGAATGTGTTCCCTAGCCCATTCCTAAGTAGCAAGTGAGTGGAAAAAGTTTCATGTTTTTTATGAAGTCTGAAATAAGTGTTTCTTTCTATACTTATACAAACGCCGCAAAAATCATAGAAGAAGGTTAAATTTACCAAAATATTCGCTAGCAAACTTAAATGCTTCCAAATATCAAGTCGATGCGAAAATCCCTATGTAAATCAAATAAAGTTTGTTAACTCTTCAAATCATCAACCAAAACTAAATTCATGATTTGTATTCAAAAATGAAAAAGATTTGTGTTTCAATATAATTACTCAGAAGCTATCTTTTGACTAATCTCGCAGAACCGAACCTCGAAGACGGCATTTCAAAAGCGACTTTGAGTTTGCGCAAGAATTACTGAAATGGTGCTAGCTAGCAAGAAATTCTGTGAAAAATTTCTTACTAACAATAGTTCGTACATTCAACTATTAAGAGATATAAACATTCGTGTTAAAAGGGAAAGAAGAGCTGAAGCAGAGCATTTTTGAAGTCATCTTTTTGCAGATTCGTAGTTTCTCCACTTAAAAAACTCTTTGGATGTATGTAGTAAGTATGTAGTATAAGGTTCCCTATGAGATAAGCATTTTGAATAACAGATTGCAGCGCATCTAGGCCAAGGTTTGCTTTCTGCAGAAAGCTCTACATACGAATTTGATTTAATGCAGATTCATCGAAGTCTTGAAAAGCGAAGGCCCGGATATTACATGAATTTTGGTTGTGGAAGTAATTTAGATGCATAGTCATCGATGTGAATAGCATTTTGTGAGGTGTAAAGAAGCGGGAAAGAATAAAATATCCACGTGACTGACACTGTACTGTTACTCAGCCTAAATAGTTACCGACCACTTCGTGGAAATGAGTTTGCAAGAGTGAGCAAACAGTTTGAGGCAAGTTTAAAAAAGGTTTGCTGAAGAAGTTTTGTGTGGAATGAATGGATTCGCGGATGCGATACATCATCGCACAGCATGGACTAAGTCCATTTTATTCGCACGAAAAGCCCATTTCGCGGGGACTTTCGTGGATATCATTCCAGATCTCGAGTTAAACTAGGGGTGGCAGCGAAGAGGTTGTACGCTTGAAGCCAAAATACCAATCTGCCCTGTACCGTGCCCACCCATCAGCAATTCTATAAATTAGCTTCAGATTATTGAAGTGAAAATTGCGAGCTCTGTCTCTCCATCCAAATTCAATCGCCATTTATTTTCGGCATTATAGAACTACTTTTGAAACTGCTTTAGCTGGACATCAGCATATGTACTTTACTTATTTAAGTGACCTTTGGGCTAGATCGCCTTTTTCAAAGTCTGTCCATCAAATAGCGCATCAGGATTCAGAGAAGACTTCCGATGCTTCAGTAAATCAAGAGCTACAAAACCAAATGCAGGATCAAACTAGCGCTCGCCTGAACAGCTGATGACGGCTTGATGAGCAGGACTACAATCTCTTTTATAGTACCCAGTGACCTGGCACTTGACCTCAGGAGGCATAAAGGCTCTGATAAGCGGCCAACTCATTAATGATGGCAATGCACTTACTGAGGCATAACTTGAAGTCAAGATCCCTTCGGTGCTACGCTTTGTTCTTCTAGGTCGCATATTCTCACTGCTACTGCTACTGCAGTGTGAGAATCGCGAGCACGCCCATACAACTGAGTCATCAACAGGTACTGCAGTGCGAGAATCACGAGCACGCCCATACAACTGAGTCATCAACAGGGTTGAGCGTGGGTCAAACGTACCCAACCTGGGGGAGTCGCATTGAGAGTCAGACTGAAGGTGGGGGAGGGGGGGGGGGGTAATTCTTTCAAAAAGTTAGCGTTAGACCGGTGGATATTATAAGTCCATCACAAGCGAAAGAATGATTGTCCTGTAAAACGTACTGATTGACTCCATTATCGAAGTTTTAGCCGAGATTCAATTCTTCGTCCTTTACCTTACACATACCGTAAGGTCACCAAAGAAGCTTGCTTTACGAATTGGGTTCAATTTCCGTAGTCAACATGTCAAATCACCTCTATGAGCAAACTACTACCTGTTTCTTTTTTAGAGTTTGCTAATGTTTAAAAAGCGTGATTTCCAAACATAATCAACTTGGTTTTAGAAGTGAAAGAGGACAGCTTTTTTATACACATGACAAAGTGATACTCTCTATCAGTCTATGCTAGAAAAGAAAACTCATATCGCTTTCAAATAGTCAAAAAGTGCTGCCGAAGTTTCAATTATCGCGTCTTTCTCCTTGATTATTTCAACTTCACGGATTACCACAAAGGCGGAACAAATAGATGTAAGCTCAAAAACTTAGTGTAAAATCTTCGAGATTTGTGCTAGCAAATCATACGAAAGAGCGAACAAGCTCAATCCGATGAAGTTAATGAGGTCAGGCATAACCACTGGAAAGGTCAGGCTGCCTGACTTTTGTAGCCTTGTGCCTAACCCTTTGACTTGTTTTTAAAGTTCGAAAATCGCCCCATTCTCTGTATGAGTATGCAGGACGTGACCTATTCCTGCGACATTGGAATTTTGGAGCCAAACATCTTCACCCCTGGGCAAATTACGACTCTTTCAATAGGCTCATTCGGATCGAGTTCTGCCGTCAAATTACTTTGCTTGTAAAAGTTAGTCACAAAAAATTGGGCATATAACCCACTTTTTAGGACAGGATGTTGTCCTTCAAAATATCACATTCTGAGAATGCTGGAGGTGAAGAGGAGGAAAGGGTCGTTTTGGGGCCTTCAGGAGAGAGAGGGAGAGAGGGAGGGGGGCTCGTTTTAGAAAGACTTTTGTGCCTGACCTCACTCAAGTTTGGTCATCAATCAAAGTAGGGCTTATTAACCGTTGTTTTAAATCGAAAAATCAGTGCCAGATTGAAATGATCAAAGTTTGATATAGCGATCATTATCAATGTGAGCTATGATATGGTTTCGTGTGATACTCGTACATCTTCCCTACTGATACAATTATTCAGGACCTTGCCAAGATGTATACGGTTCGTGCAAGATATGGAAGCGTGAAGGACAATGCGAAGTATGTTTTCTATTGGCATCTTCTTCAAGATCGACCAAATATTGAAAACGGTTGAACTTGTTAAACCTCAAAAAAATTGTTATCACAGTTTCTGCTTGAATCTATAAAATGATGACAAATTTCCTCTCCCAATTCCCACTTTTCTCTGATAAATGGATTTTTTTTACAGATATCAGAGGAATCTACCCAATTCTTCTTGCTAAACTGTCCAGCAACATGCGGGATCTGTGAGCCCAAAAATGAGACCTCTGGCTAGTTTACTAAATTTCACTTCGAACTGTCAAAAAAATGCGGAAAGTTTTTAGTAGAACTAGTCGACCGATTGCCAGCCATTCTCTTGCCTTTGTCCTGGATAATCGGTGTCTGGGAAACACAAGTCAAAGGTTGAATTCTTGAAAATCACTTTTGGCGAATGTATTAAGATATGCTAGGTTTCAACGGACGAGCGTTCGACTATCCGCTCGATTTCAACTCCTCAGGCTACAACGAAACGCTGACGTTCTCTGTTGCTAAGCCAATAATGTTCGGAACACCAAGCATCAACTATACGTTCGTTCTAGTTTAAAAACCCATTTTTGTTAGCGCATATAGAGGTGTCTCAATGCTGTAGATCCAAAGCAGTAAACATTGACGACCCCGAGGACGTTCACCTACAAAACGGATTCCTCACAATACGACAGTATGCACCAGAAGGAGAGCGAATGAAGAAGGTGGCTCTAAGCAGCGTCAATAATCAAGGTTAGCTTAGCAAATCAGACATAATATTACTGAATGTTATGTATGTGTTCTTTGGCTTGAAAAAACTTGCGTGCTATACCCTAGCAGAGAATTTCCTCATTCTTTCAACCCTGATTTTTGCTCGAGAGTCGGCCGGAATCGGTTTTAGGAGTCACCATAATCGAGGAGGGACCATTATCAAGAAAATTGGGAACAAGTGGACCAATACTGAATTTATTTCCTGTATTTACAAATATACAAACGGAACTTCAACGGATGATTCCTAGAAAAGTTTGTTTTACTTGATGACTTCCATCACAAATGCTTTTTCTTTTCCAGATTAATAGGTCATTTGCTCGTAAAGGCAATCGATTGGTCCAAACGGTTACAAAGGAGACAAATGGAAGAAAGATCAAATTTAAGAAAGTTTACGATAGGATTCGAGAATACGAATTTTTTTAGATCTGTTGTACTATACCATGTTATTTATAAGCATCTCAGATGATTAGATCCTGATCTGTTCTGTTTTCCAAATGCAATGATTCCGCAAAAAAAAAATAATAACATAGAAATAAAATTTTACAAATTTTATAGGATTCGTGTTGAACATGTTTTTACCCTATCAAGCGCATGTCTGAATTTGGTACAGCTGGTTCATGCACATTATGATAAATTCAATCCTACTTTACTAAATAGTATCAAGTAGTTTCATTATTCGATTTTTCACACTCTGCTCTAAAGGAAAGACATTGATAGAGGTGCGACTGAAGTTTTGATCACAAATGCACTATCTACAGGGTGTGTCCAATTCTGGGATCCCACCTTGCAGCACTGTAGTTACAAACCTGCTAAAGATCTTGATTTTAATTTTTTGTCACTTAAGGTCGGGCAGAGTTCACGCGATTTACCGTCGCGATTCATCGCTGCAAGACAAGTGTTTCGAATTTGCATGCCGATCTTCTTGCATTTCGGCTGTAGTAGTCTTCCAACACGACTAATCGTGACTACATAATTATGACAACCGAAATACAAGAAGATCGGCATGCAGTAAACTGAGAATATTTGTCTTGTAGCGATGATTCGCAACGATGAAATCGCTTGAACTCTGCCGAAGCCTGATGTTGCGTTCATCATCTACAAATATAATTTTTCGAGCACAAAGTGGTTGTCAAACCTTTCTATAAGAACTAAGTTATCAAGCAGTACTGCAAAGAAAATCAAAGTTTTTAGCGCTTATAATTTATGTCACCTCATCTCAATTTTTTGGGATAATTCCTAGAATTTTTGTGGGCTCATAACCTCAGTTCTAGAAAAAAGGGGGATATGAGGCCAAACTGAATTTTGTGAAAACTCAGAAAGTATTTGGAAATGAATAATTTAGCAAAGGTAAGAGTCACATATTTTTTAGCTTAAGTGAGTTGGGGCTCCCACCCCCTCGCCCACCACTGCTGCTTTGGTATTTTAGGTCTCAACCAGGGTCAAGCGTGCTGATGATCCGGGATCCTCATTTACGACCCCCCCCCCTCTTCCGCTTCCTTTTGCGGTAGCCTGCATAAACGAATGTCAATTTCAAAAGATGCCTGCCAATGGACCTCAATCGAAATTATAGGTCAGAGAAAGGTAACTACTTACAAATTGAGAGGTAATGCAAGTAATGCTTCACCATTCAAATACCCCACAATTAGTTCTACGTAGATTGGTAGCATCTGATAAAACAAAACATCGATTTTGATTTGGATGGTATTGACGCTGTACTCTACCTATAAAAAATGAAATAAAATAACAACCAAGAAAAATTCAGCACTACGAAACGGTTCACTTTAGTCATTATAATTAGCTATTTCATAATAACTTCTTTTCTAGTAAAGGTTAACAAACTTTTCTTATATGAATGTTCGACAAAACCCTTTCATGGTCCAGTGGTCGAAAGATATAGACTATGGTTTTGGAAATTAGAACGCTCTAGTCAATGACAGTCCCGTGTTATATCCCCGTACGCAACAATATTTTTTTTGCAAGGAGAAAAAACAATATCTTTGAGGTGTAAAAATTGTTTTCGACTAAAAAGCTCACTTTATATCTATTGTACAGATTTCCCTGCGAAAAAAAACCGTTCTAGCGCCTTCCAGAATGATGTCAAAAACGTGCATGAGCACGGTACTTTGAAAATTCGTAAATAAGAACAGGGAAAGAGTGAGGGCTGTGATGAATAGGCTATGTAGTATTTGTCCAGACTATCCATGGAAAAAGTTTCAGCCATTGAGAAGCTTGTGCTCGAAGAAATCTAGATGCGACTCCTGCAAATTTAGATGCGATACTAAAAAAAACTGGGATTTTTAAGAAATCTTGTAACTCACCGGAGAACTTATGAAACAGCCTGAAATTTTTATGATAGAAAGCAGGAGGATGGCTTCGTATTACAGCAAGATTGCAGCCAACAAGCTTCAACATCTCTGGAGAAATTTAGATGCGACCGAGATACAACCCCCTTTCATGTTTTGCTGCCATACATAAAATTATAGAGAATCCACAGTTTACGAAATAACACCAGATTTTGCACACATATGGAAGGACTGGTAAATTGTAAGGGCCGTATAAAAGGCATTACAAAAAGATTTACAAACTGTTGACGGTCACTTCTGGTAAAAATATGCGATTTTGTCGAGTGTGTGAGACTTCAGTGAGAGTTCGGAAGCACAATTTCCAGGCCAATGAGTTCTCCAACATCTCTAGCACCATAAACACCTTCAATAATCTTTAAAGATTATGCAAGCGTTTTTTTTTTGAATTGGCATACTTCGGGGCAAGTTCGGTTCCCGTACGCGACACCATTTTTTGCAGAGAGTAAAAACGATTTGAAGCTTAAAAACTGTTCTCGAATAAACTTATTTTCTACCTACTGCACAGATTGTCCTGCGAAAAAAAAACCGTTTTAGCGCCATCCAGAACGGTGTTAAAAACGTACATGAGCACGTTACTCCGAAAAATCGTGAATGAAGCCAGGAAAAGGTTAAGGGGCTTTAATGAACAGGTTTTGTAATATAGTGCCCAGAAAATTGAAGGTAAAAGTTGCAGCCACACAGGAGCAATAAGCTCGAAAAATTTAGTTGCGACTCTAGCAAATTTAGATGCGATCGTAGAAGCCAAAGACTGGGATTTTTGAGCTCAGGACTCCTTAACTCACTGGAGACGCAACAAAAGAGCCCGAAATTTTTAGCAAAGAAAGTAGGAGGATGGCGTCATAATACAGCAAAATTGCTGCGAGTAGGCCTCCATAGCGGCGAAAAAAGTAGATGCGACCCAGAAACGATCCCCCTTTTTCATTTTTTGTTGCTATATATAAAATTTTCAAAAAATCCACAGGCTATGAAATATAAACAGATTTTGCACATTTGTAGCAAAGCATCTCCAAAGTACAGGTAAATTGTATGGGCCCTTAGAAGACATAACAAAAAAGTTCTAAAATTTATCGATAGTCATCGCTGTTAAAGATAGGGCTTTTGTCGAGAATGTGAGACTTCAGTGATGCTTCGGAACCAGGATTTCTAGGCCAATTGGTACATTTAACATTCTTGTCTTTACATGCCTAGTGTATGAGCTTCAAAAAGTGTCTTTGGAGTCTTCGGTCATACTTGTGGCCAGCAAGATCGATTTCCATCCGCAACTTCTCTTTTGCAGGGAGAAAAATGCTGTTTTTTTTTTGAAAAGTAAGAATGTTTGCGACTGAGAAGCTTATTTCCTAAATTCCACACTTTTTCAATTTGTACCACCCTCTCTTACGACCCACCCCCCCCCCCCACCAGCGGTGCAACCTTCACGACCCCCCGTTGCGACAGTTGCATCACATGCTTGACCCTGGTCTAAACTCCATGCACTCCGCTCACTTCGCGCTTTCAACAGTGGGAACTGCGTGGAGTTGCACGAAAGCAACATCTTACTTATTATAAACACTGTAAATTTTTTGCTCGGTCAAAGTCATAGAACAAGCGACGCTAACCTTTGTGTCCACTTTGACTGTTCAAGCAACAACCAAGTGTCAGACTCTGATTGAACAGGTCTAAAATTTAGGCTTTGCCGCGTCTGTCAGAGCCTGGAAATTGAAAGTGTTATACGATGACTCAACTGTTAAAATCTGACTTCAAGATAACGTGCAATCCATAACGAGAGAGACAAGCAGAATTATTTTCAGGCAGCAAAGGATACCTTAAATAACCGCATTTCGTACCGCTGCCGTAGTATCCCTACTTATTCCATATAGCAGTCTATTTCATATAAAAATCTGCACTGCAATGCAATCGAATCATAAAAGGATCCCAGCGGGTATTGCGAAACGTGTCTCTTAGTTATTGGATAGGTGTGAAACAAAAGAACTACCGGTGAGTCAAAGGAAATTTCCAGACAGCAAGGAAATTGGAGATAGGTTGCCGGAAACTGTTCCCAAGGGGCTTACCATCGTTGCTGCCAGTGTTGTTGCCGAGGTTGCCAATCGTTTCAGGTCTTCACAGTAGTCTTCGTGAGTTATACGCTTTCTAAGCGGCCTCATATCAGCAACTGATAATAATATGTTGATTCAATGATGGCGAGAGCACTAGCAGAGACAGAAAAGGCGATTTAGCTGCGATTACAGGACGGATAATGATGATTCAATGATTTTGATGCAGAACGCTCGCACAGAGTACCATCTAGAATCTGATGGTGCGATTAAGTAAGATCAAATATGAAGTCATTGGAATCTATTACCCTAATTTCCGGGGTATAAGGCGCACCTTGTATAAGGTGCACCCGTCGCAGCGAACAACAGCGCGAAAACGCTTTTCAAATTATTGCTTTTTCAAATCTACAAAGCTGAAAATTCAGTGTGCTGTGGTTATACTTCACTGCCCATAAATCTTCAGGTACTTTTTTACTGTTCTCATGAATTTTTTTACCCTTTTTCAAAATGTATGTATACTTGAAAATCTTTAAAATCGTTTCTACAGGTGAGAGGAAGGTGTTCTTAATGGTGTTTATGGTGTTTAGATGATTCCTTCTTTTGATTCCAATGTTACTGGTGCTATTTGTGCTTTTCCTTCATTTCCAGCAGTGTTCCTGGTACTGAAACTGTGCTTTCCTTTACAATAGTAATACTACTGGTATTTTGAAGGTGCTGTTTTTGCTTCATTTTTGTCATTTTTGAAGAATAAAGGAGGAAAGATTTGTTTTGAAACAAATTACTATTGAGAGGAAAATTGAGACCAAAGAACGGGAGCAAAAAGCCACTGGTGAAGGAGGTTGCTGCGGCGCCGCGCATCGCGAGCGTCATCATACATCGGTCCGCGCGCGGCGAAAGCTACTGCGCCTTATACCCCGGAAATTAGGGTAATGCCAATGCGTCTGAATAACTGTTTGCCACCTGATCGTCTTTTCTGCAAAAAAAAGGACCATAGTAACGGAGTTATTTTTCCCTGAAACTCTAATAACCATATGATTGTAGAGTTAAAGGCACCGTCCACCCAAAGTGAGGGTTCACGAGATCCAATGGCATACTAATGTGGGCCCCCACACTAGGCCAACCCTCAAGTTTCCCCGCAAAAAATTGCTTCCGGAGCAAGAAATCCGCTCTGGAATGTACGTGATACGTTATCCAGAGGTGGTCACTCCCCCATTTTGCAGCTTTGGGGGCTGCGGCGCTGATATATACCGGGCGATAACCCGCCGTAGCCCTGCAAACTGCACTTCCACCCGTCCCGCTTTCTCCAAAATAGGAGTTTTTGGGATTCTCGACTTCATATTCGGAATCAGGGCCTTCAGAAGGCCCGGAAGCGACAAAAACATGGAAGTCGAGAATTTGGGTGGACGGTGCCTTTAAACAAATAATCACTCGTTTTTCTTCAAATGCTAATGTTCTCTATTTCGTTTATCATGTAATTTCCTTTCCTGCTGTTTATTTCCCTCCAGTTTACAAAAATGTGTTTTCCTTTTTGTACCATGCACTTTCATAACTGGATTGTTCTGATTCCTGATATTTTGAGATTTCTTCCATATCGTTATACTTACTTGTAAGACACTTTGTATGGGCTTGACGCATATGTTTTCTAACAAAGAAATTATACCGGTCTCTGTTTAAGCTTGGAGCAACCTTTCTGCTTCGAAAGTGAAGAACTCGAGGATCAAAATCGTGTGCTGGAATCGGGAATGAAAATAAAACATGAGAATGGGAAAGGACGGAAGATTAAAATTACTGTTACCACACAAACAGTAAAACGCAATTTTGGCAGGACAGAAAAAGCGAAAGTATTGAATGTGCAGATGCTCCATTCAGACGTCTATAGATTTTCTCCGTTGAACCAAGCTCTGAAAGTAAGCTTATATTTCTCTTGCAGAACTGCATTTCAAAATGCATTTTTTTGCTTAAAACTACATACCCAGACAATCACAGGCTCTCAGCGGGCCCCACCAAAAGCGTCGTTGCCTTATCGCAGCCACTGTCGCTTCCCGCTGAGAGCTTTGTCGGAGCTTTGTCGGAGCTTGTCGGAGCGGGCTCGCTGCCCGCTGAGCCCGCTCCGACAAGCTCCGACAAAATCCGACAAAGCTCTCAGCGGGAAGCAACAGTGAGGCGATGAGGCCACCGCGCTTTTGGTGGGTCTAGGCGGTGGCTTTGTGGCTGCCGGCTGAGAGCATTTGATTGTCTGAGTAATTATTGTTTATAGTTCTTATCAACCTTTACTCAAAATTGCATCAGTTTGCAGAACACCCTCTACGTTCTCGGTCTCTAGCTCGTAGTCGCTTTCCTTTCCACAAAGATAGATCTGCGAAGCTCTTCTTGTAAGGTGTTTCCACACACACTTGCTTCTTCACTCAACGAGTCGCGCAACTTACCACGAAGTTGACGTTCTTTAGGCCCTGAACAAGTTCTCTGGCGGATGATCACCCTCGAAGTGCGCCAATTTGCTGAAAATGAATTAGTCCTAAACTCAACCGACTATGTGAATACCCGTCTAAAGCTTCTGCCAAGTTGTCGTTCGAAGTTCATCGATTTCCCACTTAGACCATGAATCTCTATACAACCCATTTGCCATGCTTGACCAAGATACTTCGAGAAGTTGGTCCTTTACATAGTTGAAAATTGAATGTATTTACGCTTATCTTTTTTTGACAACTGCATAAAGAATTGGAACTTCTACTCCATCTGAGCAAATAGTATGTACACAGTACGCTGTGCATACCTACCGAGTTCCTTTCGGTAGAAAGTGAGCATTACATTGGCTACCAGAGCGTGTAGACGGTTGTGACAGGCTTTCTGAATTGTTTCTTTAGAGTTGTACACAGGAAATTCGCTTTCTGTTCGTTTAGAAGGTGCTATTCTTCCGGTAGCAAAGCAGCAATGTTGTCTGGTCTCTCCTTGTGCATATTTACTGTACTGTCTAATATCGAGATAGCTTTGCGTCGCTAGTTGTATTCGCAGACATGCAGTTTGCTCTGCACATTCCAAAGTGATTTATCTGTGATGTGGTTCACAAAATTGCAAGCGTATCGCCAATCTTCTTCCGCCGGGCAGTCCTTCTTGTTCGTACATTTATCCATTCGTTCTTCTTTGCTTCTTTCCGCACTATGCATCTTTCTCCAAACCCTAGGCATTGAAGTAGGCTATTCTATTAGCAAATTCCTCGGCTTCACACGTCTCTATCTTCACATGAATGTTGGATTTCACAACGACCAAAGAGAAACTCTTCTTTTCTACCTTTTCCACCAGTGATGGGATACACCCGTTTATTGGAAAGTAAGGATTTGGATCCAAACCCGACATTTTTGAGAAGCCATGACTCTTGGAAAGCGTGTACGATTTCTTGAACCCAGAGATCTGTTATAATGTACAGTAAAGTGCAATCGCAGAAAGTTGGGCGTACAGACGTGATAAAAAGGAATAACAAAATATCCTGGTTCGCATCCAAGACGCCATTCTACATGAGGGCGGATGGTTTTAGAAGAGAATTTGAGGAAAGATACTCAGGTAGGTAGGGCAAGGGAGGGTGGTCAAGGATTTTCCGAGGATGTGCCTTACCTCACTACCTTTGAACATGAACGATGGTTCATGAATTTATACATTCTGACATTATAACACATGCCCTCCGCTAGGCGTAACTATTAAGTTGGGGAAGGTTCAAGCAAGAGGAGTGGCACATGACCACCGGATACGATCTCGCGTTAATCTCAATAAGACCCCTGAATCACCGTTTACCTAAAGTGAATGAGAAAAAGGCCCTGTCAAACAGAGTTTGAATGAGTATCGTTTTCGAAATCGGCATGTCAGATAGCCCCCTTAAACCAAGTTTTAGCGATATCTGAAATTCTCAAATAGGCGCTGCCTAGCAGAAATCGTCATCTCTAAACTTGACTGACTTTTTTCTAAAAATGATTTTCTACCCCTTTTCCACTTAATACAAAGTATTACTCCTTATCAGAATATGTTGGGAAATCGCACTTCAAACAACCTCTGAGAAATGGAATTAGAGATCTTCCGAAATCTTAGTCGCATTTTTCGCTTTCAGTGGTTCTGCAGGTTATCGAACGATATATGCAGGGTGTTCCAACAAATGTGCACGATGTTTAATTTTCAGTAACTCTCCTGCTTCAAGGTCTTTTGTCGACTTCATAGGCCATTTTGTAGAGGTGGCTTCAACTTAAATTAGCTGTATAGAGCAACACTCCGATATTCCTTCGTTAATGTAGGCGTACGGCAGGAGCTTTGAAGAGGGTATTAAACCGTTGAGAGTCGCACATTTCGCCTCGAAAAGGGAGTCAAACAAGCCAAAAACTTCCTTATTAGATTGATCTGAGTAGCTGATTGCAGATATGAAGTTTGCACACCACGACGAGGCTTCCTTCATAAGTTATTTCAGGTAAACTGTTGCTCTTCGCTGTTCTTCAAAAATGTAATAATACTTTTTGAAAAGCCCAGAAGTCTTGAAAAAATTTGCGCAATAAAGTCAGTATGCGTGGAAACCCTAGATCAGGAAGTGAGAAGCAAAGCTCTATGGAAGAGCATATATACGACAATTCATTTAGCGGAGAGCCTTTTCGACTAGACTAGATGGTGGTAAACCAAGGCCCAGTAGACATCATTTTTGTGAATTTATTCGGAGCTTTTGACAGAGTGCGCCATGACAAGCTCATAGAGAAATTAAAGTACTATATCATGGAGAATTTGCTTTTTTGGCTTAATTCGTATTTACGGGGTACACATGATTGTCAAGGAAATCCAGACGTTCATGCCTGAATGGCGTCTTTCAAGAAAGGGCGCTATCTCCTCTGCTGTTTACTTTACACCATAGATTTACTCACCACAGTAAGAACATCATTGTCGATCAGATTCAAAAGTATGCAGATGGTAGAAATTACGGCAAATAACATCATTTAAGCCATGATGAAATGCAAATAGTACTTAAATATCAAGAATATGCTCAAATGGTCTCTCCAATGCAGCTTTCCCCCTAGCCTTAAACAAATGCTCCGTCATGCACATCCGGTATGGATCACATACGTATGATACCGATAGGTTCACCCCCAAAGGGTTGTTTCAGAACTGACTGCCGCACTGACCGCAGCAGATGGCAGCAGACTGCAGCTGACTGCAGCAGATTGCAGCTGACCGCACTGACTGCAACGGCCGCAACGGCTGAAGCCTAAAGGTAGAGAGGATAAATAGTTGTGGCTCAAACAAACAACAACAATATATACCTAGGAGCAAAAGACAACACGGGCCTAGAATGTTACAAAACAGGTATATGCAATGATAGGAGGAATTAGAACAAATACGAACATACCAAAGGAAAATATTGCCAAAACTTGATTGAGAAAAATTGTGATGGAACTTATGATCTTCTTAGGCGTAAATCACGCTTTGATAATCGCGGTTGTTCTTCTTTTACGAAAGGAGGTAGCGGCCGGTGCGATCAGTGCGGTCAGCTGCAGTCAGCTGCAGTCTGCTGCAGTCTGCTGCGATCAGTGCGGCAGTCTGAAACAACCCAAAGAGTGCAGTCTAGAGAAGATTTGGGAGGTTTGGATCTTTCTAAGCACACAATGTTCTATACGCTATTTTCAGAGGATACTATCAAAATCCGGCAATACTCAGTTTTCGTATAGACCATACGTTTTGCCACATCTCGAATATTACTCCCAAATATGAAGCCCATATCGAACATCAAAAAATTAGAAGAAGTACAATAAAATTTCACACGTTTGCTGATATTAGATGTCAAAAAATAAAACGTGCAAGTATCTTTCCAGCCATAGCGATCGTCTAAAATTATACAATATGAGAAGTCCAGAGGTCCGCCGAAAATAATCTGACCTCATCTCTTGCTTTCGAGTATTACAAAAAGAGTCTAATCACAAAGCTAGCAAGCGCTGAATCTTCATGCCTTCTAGTCTACGATACTACTCCTCCAACTTACATTACAGCAGGACGACGACAGTTTTGCTAGTCTTCAACAATATGTTTTACCGTGGGGCATGATGGTTACAGCATCTGCCTGCCAATTCTCTTCAGTGCTTTTGAATCAAGATCAAAGAAATTTGACTAGCACCATCTTCCTGGCATTCCTTTGGAATTCAAGCATTGTTTTGATTTGAATATTCCCGATTACTCGCATTACTCCGCAAACACTTTCCCTTGCACTGCAAGCATTCTTTTTTGTATTTCCTTTATCATTTCAGAAATTCTAATCTTTTCCTCTGGCTAATAGTCAGCTAGCCTCCACCCTAGGCTCGCTGGCCTGCGAATAAACGGAGATTTTATTTTCTGAATGACAGCAAGATCTTCTAGTCTGTATGTACTTTGCTCAAAGACTGTTGTCATCGATAGAAAAAATCCTACATCGTTATTACGCAGACGCCTTCGTTGTGATTAGCTGGCTGATCACTTAAATCAATGTTCGCTTGAAATGTCATCTGTGGTTGGTTATGTTTGCTAACTACCCACCTCGAATTTATCATAATAAACCAGTGCGTCAGCTCTGCTTCGCAGAGGCTCGCACCGGCTCCTCTATCTATATGCCATATACTCATTCCCTCATAACATAGCATTAAAACATACCGCGCAATGCCCGCCTTCACGAATGAATCGTAAACTACTACTCATTCCGAGAGCTTTTCCTTGTGAGATCGGTATTTTGCGTGGATGAAACTTTAAAAGATGAAGAACAAATGCAGAGTTAGAACACTTTTGATTTATTTCATGGCTTGGTAGTCGCCATAAGAATAACATCGAGGGTGAGCTACATTTTTGTGCAAAAATCTTCTCAGATGCTCAGGTAAAAACCTGGCAAATTGACCATTTACGCAAATATTTCGTTTTGACGCCTTTTTCGTGGAGTAATAGACTTCCATCACTATTTTAGGGCTAAACATCATGGCTTGCACATTCACTTGCCAAACATATCACGACTTTGTAATAGGTGGTAATACGGACCCAATATTGCGCACCAGACGTTGAGTGGATCCTTTTGGGGTGCGGTTTCTAAGGGACCTACTCAACGGATCTGCTCGTGCTTTGGCATGTTGAATCTGGATGGTGGCAGTGCGCGTTGGGCCAAAAATTGCGGCTTGAAACCTTGTCTGCGACTCATTCTGTGAATTTCGTTACAGACAGACAGGCAGACAGACAAAAACACGTAAACACCCTTAGCCCGTTATTATAAGTCACCAGTGCGTCACCTCCGCTTCGCGGAGGTTCGCACTGGCTCCCTATCCGTATGCCTTTCTCATGTTTGCATGAGAATGGCTTTGAAACTCACCACGCGATGCTGAGCATCACAAATGAAGTAAACAACTGTTCATTCATGAAGCATCTCCATGTAAGATCGGTAATTTTGAGAAAAAAACTTTGTTGCGAGGAAACAATTGCGAATTTGAGCGGATTACTGAAGTTGTTTTAGTTTGATAATCGTCATAAGGATAATAGTCACCTTGGGCTACATTCAATGCAGAAATCTTTTCAGTTTTTTTCAAACAGAACCTTGCCAAATCGACTATCTACGCGTTCATCCTTTTTGGCGCTGTTTTGAGCACTTTTTAAGCTAGAATTTATGGCGCGCAGAGTTACTTGTTAGGCAAATCTAACTTTGCAAAAAGTCGAAATAGCGACTCAGTTTTGCGTACCAAAAGGCGCGTGGACCCGTTTGACGCGCAAATGAGGGACCCGCTCATCGAACCGGCTCGTCCTTGCGCATGGTGGGCCTACACGCTGGCACGGTATGTTTTGCAAAATTGCAGCCCGATAGCTTAGTTGCAGCTTCCTCTATGAATTTCGTGACAGACAGATTTTCACACAGACACACACACACAGACAAAAAAACAGACGGCTTAGCGCGTTATTATAGTAGGATAAATAATTAAATAACTAGATATCGGTAAGACCGCTTAACCTTCTTCTTCACATTATGATCATTTGGATTCTTCACTCCCAGAAGAAGATATGATTTAATTCCAGGACTATGTTCATGGCTTGGGTTACGGTAGTATGCTTGATCTGCACTACTACGTACTAGGTTAATGCAAAAATGACCGCTTATTCAAGCTTCTTTCGGCCAACTTCCCCCACCGAAATATCTTCTTTGGAAAAAATGCGGCATGCCATTAAGAAGTCCTTTTCATGCTCTACCTATCAGGTTGAACGGTAAAAAATGGGAAATAACTGGAGCTTTCTCAAGAAAGAGAAGTGATTAGACATTCCAATTTTGATAGATTTTATGTCATTTTCTTTGAGATAATACCTGTATAAGGTCATTTACATAATTAATAATTTTTATACTTGCTGAAATGCAAAGTTAATCACTTCGACAAATCATGAACTTTGAGCAGTATCTGCGCAGTGAAACATGTGAGACCACCCAAGGTACCACTGCTGGAGTGGGTGGTGGGACAGTCACCAAATCCACGACGGCTTGGTGGCCTTAACTTCCAAAGTCAGGAGATATGGCCATTAGCAGCTTCGAGAACGAAGATACGCGTTACTCAATTTCTTCCAGGTGAACGCATGTGTTAGGTACCATCTGATAGAGCTTTTTACGCTCTATCCATCCATGTGCAGCTTGCCTCAGATTTTATCTATTTTCGGAAAATATAGGGCAAAACATAATTTTTTAGTTTTTTATCGCACCAAAAATAGCTATTTTTCAGGTTTTTTCGCTTTTTTTCCTGAAACTGAAGAGAAATCTCATGCATTTAACATAATTTTAAAAGAGCATGAAGAGCTCTTTCGAATGGCATGTCATTTGCTTTACGACTTCACGGTATAGCAGTGCAAGATTGAAAGTTGTTCAAAGACCCTGTCGGAGTTCTTCACGACGCCACGCGTACGGTTATGAGAGGGGGGCGGTAACGCGTTGCCAGAATAATAGACGAAGGTCGGTTATGTAAGCGACGTGAGTTGCAGCCTGCTTGTTATTGGTGAGGACAAAATATCTAAAAAATGTAATAAAAATCAAGCTGTCCCATCTTTTACCGCTCACCCTAATAATTACTATTGAAAAGGGCTTCCAGCCTCAACTGCTAAGATGTTACAGAACTTCAATTAACCGCATCTAAAATCACAATTCCGCTGCATTCAGTTTCTGGCCAAAATTCAGTAGCGAATAAACGGTGCTTCTTCGAAAACTTAGCTACTGTATATGAAAGAAATCCACATTACGCGCACTCTTGCTTAACTTTATCTAGACTGAGATATCGGCGCTTCATGAGTAGCAGTTACGGTCATTCGCACCCTCAATTTTCTTTATGAGGAAACCATCGCCAAAGCTTTGCTCGTTCCTGCAAGCGTAAGGTGGGTATCCTGTTGACAGTTTCTGCAAGACCATTTAGCCACTCAGTACGCAGAAAACAAAAACCCCTATAATCCGTGACTTCGAGGCCTACAAAAAAACTGACAATCTTAAATCTCAATCATTTTTCTTCGCGAATCTTCTTTGTTCGAACTCTTCTTATATTCTTTTATCCTGATGGCTGCGGCTTCAAAATAGGCAACTTATTATTTATACTAACACATCTTGAAGGGAACTATGATTTCTAAACAGGCAGGCAGAAAAATATGGAAAACGAAGGAGTTTTTTCCTTCGTTTTCCATATTTTGCTGCCCGATTATGATGTGAGTATAGATGAAGGTGCGCCCTGTATTACAAAGGGTTTGCTACTTCTGATGTGTTTCACCGCATTTAGCAGTGTAGATTGTTCGGAAAGCTACAACACATCAAAGTGAAAATTCGCAAAACGGCCATTATTTTTGATCAACCTAATACACTCCAAGGGAAGGTATCAAGAATATGCATAATCAAAAGCACAATTCCCTCAATTTTCGCTGGGGTGATTTGAGTGCGCGTAACAGTTGCTAAAAGCGAAAATTGGACAAAAGAGGTTTT